AGATTCTCTAAGACATATTTAATATACACATTCGACTCAGTTACAATTTATTATACTTTTAATCTATCAACAATAAACTTTTTCCCATTATCTGACATAGTTTATTAATAAGGAATCTTCTTTACATAATATTATACATCACAATTAAAATTTTATAATTCCTTCATACTTATGGAATTTTCTTATATTTTCTATTCTATTTGCTGTACGAGCTGTTCCTTTCTGCCCACCTGCGTTACGTATGTATCATGCGGAAACTTTAATGTGATTAAAATAAAGATGCTTTTAATAAAGTAAATATTGCCTTTAAAAGGTAATTCTAGATCTTTCTCAATTGTCATTTATATATATATATATATATATATATATATATATATATATATATATATATATATATATATATATATACATTAATAACATTATTTTTTTCGTTAATAACATTATTCTTATACTAAAAATTATTCTTACGCTTTAGTTCGATTCATCATTAAAGCAAGTTTTATATTTTCTTAAACTATTTATAATTTATTTTCCATTTGTTGTTTTGTTGTTATAATTTTTTTTAGTTATATTAAAAAAAATTATAAATCATTATACTATCATCGGTTCTTGTTAAATGTGCAAAGTTTCACTTCAATCTGATGTTTTGAAGCGGGTGAAAATCGCGTTCAAAGATTGCGATAAATAGATATCTATTATCTATCTATTTATCTATCTACAGTTAAAGGTGTAAAAATTCGAGTTCTGTAAAGTACTGATCGATTTAGGACAAATACTAGATGTTAGATGTGTTGACAGATGACTAGATTTGGTTAAATTATAAAATCATAAGCATCCTAACGACATTCCACCATGCCATATACGGTGGTTTGCAAAAGCCTATCTAAAGAGTTGGAAGCCTATCTAAAGGAAATCAGAGGATTTCCTTTACAAAGATATTTATTTGATGTAATGTGTATGAAGCTTCTGTCAAATTTCTATCTCTAGTAAGGAAAACTTGTGATAGATAAATTATCGAGATTCGTAAACAAAGTATAACGTGAATAGTTACCTATCTTTTTCTACACCACAAAATGTGTTTTCTTTTTAAACTTCACGTTAAACCCTTAGACTACCTTGGAAAACTTTAAATGGTTTTGTGGCGAGCTTTGTATGTCTTAATGCATTATGCAGTCGTTTAATCATTGCCTGCACGAAGTGCTATTAAAAGTTGAACAAGTAGGTCACAATACTATCCACATATCAGAAACTATAAATTACCTGTTAAATAATGGTTGAAATCTATTCCAATCCGTTTTTTTTTGTCTATAAACATTATTTTTTTTTCTTAAACGCAGTTAACTTATAATATACTAGCGACTCACCCTCGCTTCGCTCGGGTTCGTCCCTAGCTTGCTTCGTAATACAACATTTTCACCCCTTAAGGGATGATTTCCAGAATAAAAACTATCTCATGTCCTTTCCAGGATCTCAAACTGTATTTTTACCAAATTTCATTTAATTCGGTTCAGTAGATCAATAGATTACCCCTTACAACCTCACAATCTCGGAAACACAAAATAACAAAATCACAAATTTTACCTCTTTATAATATTAGTATTGATAAAGATATGTATAATATTTATTTACACATGTATCAAATGAAATCTTAATAATGTATGGTTTATATGCGTTTATTTGATACTTTACGATATATTCGAAACTCCTTTACGTTAAACAAGTAGATGGATTGGAAGGTATTTAATGGACGAATAGACTTCGACCAGGAGTAACAAATAGGCCAGGATTGTTAGTTGCTATCCATCCGAGCTAAACGAAGGTGAATTGCTTGTAAATTGTTATGTATTTACTATTCTGTAATTAACTTTACTGATATCCTGCTTAAATTGTACACCGACTTCAAAAATATTTTAAAATAACGAGTCACTTTCGCTTCGCTCGAGTTCGTCCCTAGATACGTTTTGGAAATATTAATTTTGGAATATGGAATATATAGACTATATACTATATGATATATAACATATAGCCTTCTATAAATGGGCCGTCTAATGCAATTTGAATTTTTTACATCGGATTTATAGTTCCTGAGATTAGCGCCTTCAAACAAACGAACAAACTTTGCCTATTTATAATATTAGTACAGATTAGTAGATATAGATGAACTAAGCATAGGTCTTGGTTATCTTGGTTCAGTTAATATAGTCTCATCAGTTTGATACAGGGATTACGGCGGACCAAAAATTTATAGAACCGCGTTTTGAGATTCTATGTAGATACTATTTATTAAATGTTTACTTGTTAATTTTATTATATTCCTCTATAAATCAACTTTTGTATAGAAAATTGTATATTTTTTTGCGGAAAATTAAAAAAGTCACGAACATACGTTTGTTTAGGTTTATTTGGATAACTTGATTCAAACAAAATAATATATGGTGTAGACGTATGTATGAATTATTTATATCAATAAGCCGTCGCCTCGCTCGGGCATCAACACTTCTCTAGTATAATTTATGCATGCTTATTTCAAAGACTCGTGTATTATAATTTTTTTAGTTGGATAACTAAAAAAATTAAGTTTACAAAATTACAGTTAAATATTGGAAATTTAAAAATAAAATCTCATTACTATTCTATGAAAATGAAACCCACAAACAAAATAACCATATAGCAGGATTGCTAAAATAGATTTATGGGATGGGATAAACCCCTAGAACCATCAAATTTCATCAATCTCAAAACTCAGTTTTATAGTTATTTTGTTTGTTGGTTTCATAGAATAGTAATGAGATTTTATTTTTAAATTTCCAATATTTAACTGTGATTTTTTACCTTGACTTACTTTTCTGCTTACACTAAATTACGCAAGAGTCAAATTTCTTCTTCGTTAAGCATTCATAGTTTATGAAACCATCGTTTTAGAACATATCATACATATAATAAAATTGTAACTAAGCCGAATCTGTACATTAGATATTTTTTGGAAAATCTAATTGAAATCTTATTGAAAATTAAAATCTTATTGAAATAGTCATTATTATCGATACAGAGGCCAAATCTATAGTTTTTAGAATTTTTGTCTGTCTGTCTGTCTGTCTGTCTGTTACCGCATCACAGAAAAACCACAGGAGAGATCTCGATGAAATTCGGTATAGTGATAGCTGGTTATCCGAGTCAACATATAGGATACTTTTTACCGTGGGAAAATATCTTATTTCTGAGAAAAAAATACAAAAACTAAAAGTAAGAGTATACTAATATGTAAAACCTAAGAATTTGGTTTTTGGTCATCTGAACGCGGGCGGCGCCGCGGGCAGTGCTAGTTTAGAAATAAAAAGTAAAAACTAATTTAATAACATTTTAAATAACGCATATAATACTCGTATATCACCTTAGTATCGTATGCGAAATGCAGCTTCACTCCCGTTTATATTTAATATTAGAAAAACCGTAATATACCTACTGCAAAGTGTCATTTGTTAAATATTATTTTAAAATCTTAACAATTACTTATTTCTTTATTTATACAGAAAATCGAATATATAATCGGGATAAAAAATATATTAATTAAATTTAAAAAAATATATACGATAAGTTTAAGCTTAGGTACGTAATATATGCTTAAATAAATAGTTGTATATATACATAGGTTATGTATATTAAAGTATTTAAATACATACATTAAATACACATCACTTGAAAATTAGATTAACACGGACTTCAATGGTCTTTTTTATTGTGCACTGCTTGTACATATCTGGATTAATAAATTTGTAACGTTTTATTTGAATCAGTGACGAATACTTAAAAAAGACTTGGTACTTCGCGTATCATGTGCCATATAAAGAAGAGATGAAATTCATTATTTTAGTCTCAAATATTAGACAAATCTCATGTAAGCAACGCCGCGGGTAGTAGTTTATGTTTAAAATTAATATTAAATGTACCTTATTATAAGAATTTCATCTTAAATTCGTCTAAGGAGCACCAGGTGTTAAGAACGTCCCCGGAATAGTACAATTAACGTAAGATTTTTCTCAGTTAAAGTAAACGAAAAAATCTAAATGATATATAAATCCTGTACAAAAACTACGAAATATTGCAGATATATACATCTTTAATTGATCCAGCTTCATTATTAATATAAGATATTATTTAAACCTTGCTTTTTCAGAGGTCCATGCTGTAGCTATTTCAAATGAAAAAATATACTAAATTAAAATATAAAAGTTATTTTAACCAAAAAATTCAAAGAAACTCCTTTGTGATATAAAGAAACACTGGTACGTAGCAATGAACCCGTTTGCTCAAATCTTCTTCGCCAAATCGATAAATTCGACACCACATCTACGCAATTGCTACACTTCGTATTTTAAGAATAAAAGTGTCAAGACTCACTAAACAAATAACAGTAAAAAATTTAAACGATTCTAGTGATATTGTTAATGTAATAAAAAAATATCAAAAGTTCCATATTATTTCTAAATCGCTAAAACAGTTACGAAAATCTATCGTAGACTTTGCGCATGTGACCTCTTAAAGTACGTCCATTTTTCTCGCACCGTCACCCAAAAAGTCAAATTTTTCTTAATTTCAACCGTAATCATATTTTTAATAAACATTTATTCCAATTAAAAATAACGCAACCTCTCAACAACACGTGGGACGTTCGCGGTAAACTTTCTCGCGTCAAAACTTTTTTGCTCTAAAAGTGTATTTATTAAACTACTAAAAACTACGATGTCTCATCTGGAATATATTATTTTCGTGATTTCCTACTACTTTTAAACGTGAAAAGTTTAAAACGATACATTTTTCATTCATAAAAATATGTTTGAAAAAGTTTGCTACGAGTACGTAAGCGTAGTAAATAAAGTTTTAGAATTGCTTCATATCGCACGTATTTGCTTCCAAATATATTTTTAAATATTCGTTTTTTTTTTAAATAATTTTCAGATGTTTTCCAAACTTCGTAAGAGTTTGCGATATAGTTTACTCACGTGACATGGTCCGCTTGCGGAAAAAAAGCGCCCGCGAGCGCTAGAAGTAGCGCACAGTTGCGACCCCTCATAGCTCTAGACAGGTTTCATAGTCAACCCGCACGACACAACCGTCGTCGGACGGCAGTCGGCACACTGAGAACGCAAAGCGGGTATCGATCCTCATGACCCGGACACCGCCTATCGACCTTCGCGCCGCCGCACTCCCCTCATAATGACTTCGCGAACACTAAAAATTTTCATGTCCCTAAATAATAAAAAAAACATGCATCACACATGTCTTTTTTATTTTATTTCGAAAAAAAAAATGGACATAAAAAAGTTTTTTTTATTGATTTTTAAATTATTTTCTATCAAGAAAATAATTTAAAAATTAATTGCGTGCTTATTCAAATCTTTATAAACTTTTAAAAGTATTTCCCTCTCTACCAAACGGCTTTATTTTCAGGTAGCCAATCATAGGCGGGAAATTCGCGCAGGCGCATGAAATCCCCACCTCAATTGCGATATAGGGCGGTCGCTTGATTAAAACTTCAACGGGCTCACTAACTTGCCGATCGTAATTTTAATACCTTTCAGAATATTTTATTAAAATATTAAATAAGTTTTTTTATTCATAATTTATTATGGAGAGTTAGTTATATTGAATATTTAATATTTGTTAAAATATTTTTATTCACTTTTTTGTATAAACATAAAGAAATAGATCAAAATACTGTCTAAAATAAATAATACTAATTTTTTTGTAAACTAAATTTATATATTTTGTAGTAAAGAATATATTTTTTATTATATTTAATAGTAATAGGTACTCAAAAGCTCGAATAAAAGTTGATTGTGTCATAGATCTCTTAAAATTATTAATTGTGACCATAAAATATATTAAATACTAAATTTTGCTATCCGAGGAACATGTACTGTATTTTAAAACCTGCAAATTATTCAGCTCTTGTAACTGTCGCCCGTATATTCGAATCTGTACATTAACTATTTTTTTGGTAAATCTTATTGAAATAGGCATTATTACCTATCAATAGGTCGAATCTATAGTTTTTAGAATTTTTGTCTGTCTGTCTATCTCTCTGGGAACGTATCACGACAAAAAGACTGGACGGATTTTGATGAAATTTTGGTATGATGATAGCTGGTTATCCGGTTCAATATATAGAATACATTTTACTGCGGAAAAATAAATATCTCATCTTTGTGGTAGATTTCTCACGGTTAGTAGGTATACACTAATAACCGTTAAAACGTACCTAAGGACGAACCCGAGCGGAGCGTGGGGGAGTCGCTAGTATACTTATAAATATTTACAACTAGCTATTAAACAAAAATTCAATTCAATTATCTTTTTAAAGGTTTTAAAGCGTGCCAGTAGAATACAAATTACTTCGCCAATGTCACCTAAAATGGAGACACGGAGGAGAAGGTGGTCGGTAAAATAATATTTATTAAAATTTAAACAATATTAAATTATAACGTAGACTAGCGATTCACCCTCGCTTCGCTCTCAATACAAACTTTCATCCTAATTTTCACCCCCTTAAGGTATGATTTCTTAAGGATTCTTAATAAATAAAAAGTATCCTATGTCCTTCCCAGGGTCTCGAACTATCTTCTCACCAAATGTCATCTAAATCGGTTAAGTAGGTCCAGAGATTACCCCCTACAACGTCACAAACTCATAATTCAAAAACTCACAAACTTCACTTCTTTATAATATTAGTGGAAATAACAAAAAATAAAATGAATTCATTTTAATACAAAGTTACAATAGTGTTCTTAAAATGCCATCAAGAACTAATCTGAGAGATGTATATTTTCAAAACAATCCAATATGGCAGATAAAACATTCATAATATAGCACAAAAGCAGAGTGTAATAGTATACTTTATTATGAATATTTTATTTTAACTTAATTTTAAGGAATTTCAACTAAAAATGTTATTAAACGTATCGAAAAAAATATAAAAAAAATAATTAGTAAAAGTAATGAGCCTAAAAACTAGTATAAAATATTATATTTCAATAATATAATAAAATGAAAATTTATAGTGGAAAATTACATAAAGCGGACACTGGCCATATATTTTTCACATAATATGTATTTTATATTAATTCTAACAATTGATTTTCTTTTTAATTATCACTGATAAATTCCCTGAGTTTGTTTGTGTTTATATTGGTGAAGTGCGAGTCGAATCAAACCGGTAAATAACTTTTTTTGTATTATTTAAGTAAAGAAAAAAATCAATTAACAGTGAAAACCTACTACTACTATTTACTATACATATTTACTTTTTAACGTTTATATAGATTTCTCCTTGATGAGATATTTTCCTGCAGTAAAATGTTCATTCAAGTATCATTTCATAAAAACCTGTCAAGTGGTTTCCTTGTAATACGTTTCCAGATAGACAGATAGACAAAAATTCTAAAAACTATAGATTCGGCCTCTGTATCGATAATAATGTCAATTTCGAAAAGATTTCCCAAAAAATATTTAATGTACAGATTACAGATTCGACTCAGAATTCAATCAATAACAAAAATCATATAAAAATTTATTCTACTACCAATAATAAAATAAAAGATACAATTTTTAAATAACAAGGATACATGAAACCGACACCTAACAAGGATTAATGTTAATCACAACATCTTATCAAATACATCGGAATTGATATATTGAGGTCTAATTAGTGAAGGAATTATATACATATTAATAGTATTTATCCAATGGATTTCATTGTTTTCACAAGATTCTTTTATCAGAAGAAAGTTATTTTTAGTATTTAACGTACAGATATTAATTCCAGTTACTGAGGACTACACTTTACTTTACTACACTTTATCGTGATTTTTCTGAATCTTTATCTTCGAAGTTGTGAGAAGAATATTACTCGGCACACATCCGCTCCTTTTATACACATAAAACAAACACACATCTATTATTAGAATATTGGAAAATATTCTAGTAATGGCAATTCCTTTCCGGAAATTATTACATCTCCTACTCGGGCTACTAATGAAAATATTGTAATAGAAAAACTCAGTAATTAAACTTAGCCCGATCCGGGACTCGAACCTAGGACCTCCAGATCTCCCACTAGACCACTGAGGAAGTCACGGTAATTTACAATTAACTGTACTCATCTTTGATTATCATCATTATACTAACTTGACAATTATTTGTAATCAAATCCTAAAAATAAAAACTTTTGACAGTGTATTGAGCACAACTTTCATTCTGTAAAATTTCTTTAATATTTTTTATTCAAATACACAATATTTTATAACATATAAATCGAAGCCAGATTGAAAAACGCGTAAGATACGGTTAAGGTAAGGAAAAAAAGTTTATTTTTAAATAAACATTTCAATTAGCCTTGCCTGTCTAGCAAACTGTTGAATAATAAATGGTGCAAGACAAAGTCGCGCATCAGCGTCAATGTACTTAGTGAATATTGATATTATTTTCATAATTTGATTAGAATGTTAAAGAAAAACTAGCCTTTTTAACGAGTTATTTTTTAATATTTATATCGTTCATAGAAAACTAAAAAAAGCGATTGCTTTTTCGAATCAAACGTCGGGAGCCAAAAATCAAAATTCATCCGCAAAAAAACCGAAAAAAATAGTTTTATTTAGAAAAATTGTGATAAAGATATATACTATTCCGGTCATTTGACATAATTTTTAGATTTATCACTTAGGTACATAGATTTTTAGTCTGCTGTTAACTATAACACGTACAGGAAGTCAATGTTAATAACGATTATAAAATTATTATAGATCTGTCTAGTAGTAGCTCCAAAATCGATAAAGCGTAGTTTTTCTTTTCCATTGAATAATTATAATAAAATGTTTTTTACAGAACTTTTAAAACCACATGCGTTGTAAACTACAACAAGTATATATTAGGTATTTTAAAGAAAATTATGCAATTTAGCATCTTGATTTTTATATAATACTAGCCACTCACCCTCGCTCCGCTCGGGTTCGTCCCTGGGGTGGGGTCTGGGAGGACCACCCTTATCCTTATCACTTAGGGGTATGGAAAATAGATAGTAGCCGATTCTCAGACCTACTGAATACGCATATAAAATTTGGTAAAAATCGGTAAAGCGGTTTCGGAGGAGTACGGTAACAAACATTGTGACATGGAAATTTTATATATAAGATGTACATAGATTACTATTATTCACAAGCTAATTTCTTTGCTAACTTTGCTTAAATAGGAGAAAGAAACCTAAATACATTATTTTTTATTATTATTTTTATAACCATTTCTAAAACAAAATATTATAAATTCTAAAACAGATAAAGGCTTTAATCAAAGTTTCAAGGCAAAAATTATTCACACATTGCATTCCAGCCCTTTTTTACCTTTTTCTGTTGAGTGAAAAACATCACAGATCACAGTGGTGATACAGTGCTCGTGAGTCAGAAGTCGTTCTTTTATTCAGAAGTTCTGTTTGTACAGTAGCTTCCAGCAAAAAACAATGAATATCTTTATCTTTTTTCTCTATCCTTATTTCAATGTAACAACACGTATTTGCTGTATAAAAATACTTTATTTCTCCAATATACCAAATATTCCGACGGTAGAACTCTTGCATTTGATTTTGTAAAGTCGGTATTTTTTTAAAGTAGTCTTTTTCCAATACACTTCTACATCATCACCGAATTATTGAGTTAGTCGTGGAATTATATTACATTAGCATTGCCCGCGGCTCCGCCCGCGTTCAGATGACCTAAAACCAAATTCCTAGATTTTACATATTAGTGTACTCTTGCATTACAGTTTTTGTATGTTTTCTCAAAAATGAGATATTTTCCCGGGGTAAAAATTATCCTTTATACCCAGATAACCAGTAATCACCATACCAAATTTTATCAAAATCCCTCCAGTTGTTTTTCTGTGACGCGGTAACAGACAGACAGACAGATAGACAAAAATTCTAAAAACTATAGAATCGGCCTCTGTATCGATAATAATGTCTATTTTAATAAGATTTTCCAAAAAATATTTCATGTACAGATTCGGCTCAGTTAGAATTTTATT